CTAGGGGGGGGGGGGGATAATACGCCACTGAGTTCATTAGACCGACAACACGGTCGCAAGAAAGGAAATTCGTTCATCTATCGTGACCGTTAAGGAATCTGGTTGGACATGAAAAAGCCCGGAAGGGACTCGCATGCAGCAAATCTGAAAAAAAAAAATATTATATATATATATATGCCTTCACCCATGTTTGCGATCTTGTATGGGAGCATTCCTGTTATGTGACTTGAGTAAAACAATTACGTAAGTTTCCCGTCAATAAAACTTGCTTCCTTTAATATATTAGCTACATGTAATTACACCTAGCTACATGTAATTACGCCTAGATACATGTTTCGATGCATTTACACCACCTGCTGGCTACGATGATTTTATTTATTTATTTAATATTTCAATTCATACTTCCATATGTGGGTGTTTTATGAAATACAGCAAAATTATGTTTTTATTTGTTTTACTACACACAATCCGAGAATTCAAAATTACTGCATGGGTCAGAAACGTAATTAAAATCATACGCTACAAATTAACTAACACACGTGTGGGATATTCATTTTTGTATAATGTATTCATGCACAAGAATTAATTAATATTATATATGCTCTACACCAAAAAGAATTACTCCCAGAAGATGGATCTCAGGGAGGAGACAGCTGGTGAGCATGACAGGTACACAGAAGTGGCTATGGTCGTGTCCACTGACAGACCTTCATATTGAGGGTTCTACTGCCATGGTGTGAACAAAGAGTGAAAATATCAGAGACGATTGAATAATTATTTTAGACACCAAAGAGATCACGGCCCACGAAATAATGGTAAGCTTGAACATCAAACTGTAAGCAATGACGAAAAAAAACAAGTGACGACGTACTTGTTCACAGTAACAGCTGGCACACTTCGGATCAAGAGTTAAGTTGACATGTTATAAGTATCGCCCCCTCAGTACAAGCTTTAACACTCTGTCATTGCAAATTTGCAGTATCAAGTTACAAAAAGGCATGCACAGTATCGTTAGTGCGTATCACACATTTCCATTGGAAATGGTCTCGTTTCCAGGTTATAAAATGCCTGATCATATTACTATTCAATAACTTCAGGTTACACTGCAATATTACATACGCATCCACAGCAAGTGGTGGCAGGCTTTCAATAAAAACATAAGTGACTTTAACCTCATATTTGATACAGTTGTAAGCCTACGAAACAGATTAAAATCTCGTGAAGGATTTCTACTGTTCCCAGAAACGGAGAAATTCTATATCCGCACAATTACGTACACAATTAAGTACCTTATATATCTCCACGCCCTCTGTACTGTGAACTCAACGTCATAAACATGAAAATCCATTATAATCAAAAAGCTTTCATTTACAAATGTATCTCAAATATTTAGAAAGTCATTCTTCTCAGCAATGCAGCACCGGTGTTTGTAAAATAATATTCCGTTTCCCTCTCTCTTCTTAATAGGCGAATTTGCTGTCGTTAATCGACAACCTGTACTCGAAGAAAGCATGACAGATGGCGCTTGCGTTACATGTAAATCTGAAGATTCTCAACTAAATGCAACTTTCCTCCAGCAGCTAAAATCAAATAACTACGACCTCGATTTATGAATAAGTTCACTTACCAGCTGTCGAAAGCACAAATAATATCCATAAACCCATCACTGTTGCTCTTCCCACTTGTGTTGCCAGCACGGTTACTTCCTTCCCCTCACCACGTTGGATCTCCTCCTTTGCGAAGTTAGAGCCAGACGCTGCCACACAGAAGACGGTGGTAATGATGAAAACGATGACAGATGGAGAAGAGTGGAGTGAAATCTCCAACAAACCCCTGTCGACGACACATCACTGAACCGAAAAGAAACACGCGTAGGTATTTTTCATACGTGCACAGAGACGAAATGTTAAAAATCGAATACGTGTTTTAAAGCAAGAGAAAGAAATGTCTGAAGCTTCAGCCACTAGACACTGTTTCAATTTCGTTGCCACTCGAAATCGTAACTTGTTGTTGTGTTAGGGTTTCTACACCCTTGTATAAGTCACATAATTTGTTCGTATTTGGTCCGGCAATTCCCGAAACTAAATTAAAACACGGTGAATCTATGAGACACTGATTTCGGTTGGTTCCTCCCTGTAGAGGGGCAACAAGAAGGCTGTTTGAAGAGAAAGGAGGGGGTATTGGTGTTTTTCCTTGTAGAAATGTATCAGTATCTGGCAAATACGGGGCTACCAGCTCCTTTATTTCCAGCTCGCTCGTCCGTCCGCTTCCTCCCTCGACCGTGCCGCGCCGAGTATTGACCGCAGGGTCTGCGCGCGACACGGCGGGATGGCCCCTACTCCCCTCTCGCTCTTTCCATTGCGTGCGTGACGGCTCGGTTTTAAGATGCGCTGGGACTCTTCCATCTCACTCGGCTTTCCCAGTGCTGCCAACGTACAAAAAATGTTAAAATAATCGCCCACTAAACATCCACCCTTTTGACTGCCCGATCTCAAGGCTCAGCGCATGGGGCGTCTGTCTCTAAACGTGCTGAGTTTTATTTGAAGAGATATGCAGTTCGAACGTCGACCGAAAATCCACTGTCATGACAGATGTTTGGTAATTTCTATCAGTCACTCCAGGCAAATGACATTTCTCAAAACAGGCCATATCTTCCGAATCTTCACACGTCATTTAACGGTAGGCGCCAGAAGTTGAAATAATCTGATTATGTTTTCAATTTCTAACAAATGATAGCGCATGTCAAATAACTCTAGGTTGGTCGGGCCAATTTTTGCTTCCAGCCCACTGAAAGAGAGGCAGACGATAATAGTGTAACTGGTTTGTAAACTGGTTCGCGCTCACTTTAAAAACAGTCTTAGAACCTCAATGACGCCGCTACGGAAAACATAGCCATCGAGACAAAGATCTTACATAATATCTCAGAATGAGAGGACGGCACTGGGACATAAAATCGTCCTCGTTCCATCCTATTTCTTGTCTGTCGCAAGGTTGAGCATTCTTTACTAGACGTATATATTTCGAGTTAAAATTGCGATTATATTCAGGATCGCTATGTCCATAATTGAAATGAAAACTTGGTGATTACTTACATACAAACACGCTTATAAATGTTTCTCATTAATGTGTTAAAAATATTACAGTCAACACATCAACACATTAAAATAGCATAACTTCTTCTTCTTCTTCTGCTTCTATGGCTCTCCGGTCCGTATTCGGTCCATGGCCTCCTCAATTCTCCTCTTCCATTCGGTTCTCTGTTAGGTCCGTCTGTCCGAGGCTTTGATCGAGGTTTCGAAACATCTTCCTTTTTACGGTGCAAGGTTGTTAGCCTTGAAAACAACCCCCAACCTGGAGGACCAGGGTACGAATATTTATCGCATTAACAGCATGCATTACTGATTTTGGGGAAATTTTTATAGTGGAATAATGTATTTATTTGGCCAATGCATATAGAGAGAATGGAAGCAAATAGAATTCCACAAAAAATATATAAATACAAACCTAAAGGCAAACGAGGCAAAGGACGCCCACAGAAACGTTGGAATGACCAATTTTAACTGTAGAGTACTGTATTCTATTTACTCGAACAGAAAATTCCTTGGAGACTGAACAGTCTATAATAGGCTAAACCATGGAGATGATGATGATGATGTATTTATTTTTTCTTGGTTGATTAGTTACGCTAATGAAAAACAGGCAATAGGACTATTCTTGTAACTTATTTTATAGAGTTCGTTGTCTGCGTGTTATTTTAATGTTACTGATCATTTTCGGCGCTCTTTTCCATCATAATATCTTCATAGTTAAGGCTAGCAACCTCTGTCTTTCAATGATGTGTGGTGGATGACACGCTTCTCGTTACGTAGCAGGTTAATATCAGATCCAAACCATGCCGAGCTACAGAAATCGAAAGACAGAAGTTGCCGGCACTGATCACAACAATAAAAACTAATAACACTGAAATAATGCACAATCAACGAACAAAATTAAAATAATCCATACTAAGAATATTATATGCATTTCATATGTGTAATCGATCGACCAATGTAGCATAAATAATCTCATGTAAAAACGAAGAAGCCTCAACGATATATTGTTTGCTCGTACTACAATAAACATGATTCAATATCTAATATATTGACTGCAACAATTTTAATATTTTCAATTCAATTTATTTAGCTATTTTAGTGTCAACATAAAAGAGCCTAGGACAAAATACACAAGAGTTGTATTAGTTGACATATTTAATATGAGGTTATGTTTGTTTTACGTGAAAGTTACACAGAAATGTTAGTTTTCTTTAATTATACGAGATAAAACAATCCTGAAGATGATTTTAATTACATGTCGAAACATTTATCTCATATAAACAATGATGCTGCTCAACCTTATGACAAGAAATCAAATTCAAGACATACGTCGTCGTGTATGGATGACAATTTTTGTCTAATTAACACAACGGGATGATAAAATACAATTCGACCGACAATACTTCATTGCACTAAGACGCGACAACAGATTACATCTTAATCTGCCAGAGCCCGACGAGTTTTGTGGCAATTTGTAATATACTAGTCTGTTCACAGTGAAGGATTACCCTACTCCCTTTTCGGCTATCACCAACATATTCAATACATTTCCAGCTTCCTCCATAACCAGACACAGTCCCCTACGTCCGCAAACTGAATGCGCACGGTGTCATAGGTACAATAAGGTTCCTTAACAAAAATATGAGGACTTCCGGTAAAAGAAGATGCAGAATGTATATAATTACATAATAAAGTAGACTATTTAATGATTTGGCCTACACTCTTCACTTCATAGGATACTGTTATGATGAATAAATCAAGAAGATGAGATGGGCGGGACATGTATCACGCAAGGAACAGCCAGAACGGCTATAAAACCCCGCCGAAAGAAGACATTCCTGAGACCTAGGCATGAATGAAAGAACAACATAAAAATTGACATAATTATTCGGTTTTGTCCGTCTAATCAAAATTATATTTAAAATTTACAAATAAGATAATTAAAATATCATTTCTTTTCTTTGAATCATTTGCTTTGCAGGCCGATGTAGAACATCAAAAGCATTTCACTTCAAAACAATACATTTGCTCCAATATATGAAAATAATCTGGATATGAACATCACCAGAAAACATCACCAAAAAGCTACACAACAGAAATTGTAATTGAGTTTTAAGTTTATTGATATAATTTTACACCTGAAGATGGTTCGATGAAACCGAAACATGTTGTAAAAATGTTCCAAATGTAAATCGATTATTCGATGTGGAACATAAAATGATATTTTAATTATCTTATTTGTAAATTTTAAATATAATTGTGATTAGACGGACAAAACCGAATAATTAATTTAATATTTGATTCACAATATGACGCAATTATACTATCTTATAAAAATTGACAAAAAATATGTAGTTTTTGAAGATTTGAACTGGATATGTTACGCCTATGACAAGCAACAAACCCAGGTCTTTTGTCGATATTGTAATGAACCTACTGGTTCAGTAAAAACAAAAAACTTAATCTGTGGAGTTTTAGAAACGACTCAAGGCGATAAAAGTTATTCAAATGAACATTGGTCACTCTTCCCTTAATATTATCGAAAAACGTTTTAACTGTTTAAGATATTTAAAGAATTATTCATTTTCAGAATTCCACAGACTCCCAGAAACATTTGAAATACTTCGCAATTTTCCTATAATCTGTGAAAGGCAGAATGCGAATTATCGAGATGACACCACGAAATTTGTTCATGTTTACAGAAACTCTCAGACTATAGTAACGTCTTGAAAAGTCGACAACAGCTCTGGTAATGTTACAGTGTGCGTTTAATCAAGATTTTATGGACATTCTATATTCTAAAGCCAGCCACCGCCGCCGCCGCCGCCAACTCATCAGTGTCGGAACTGTCGTTGCATCGGCTGCATCAGCTCAAGGGGCACATCCATTGCCCATACCAGGGGCCATTTTGCATCAATGAGCAAATTCATTCCTATTAGACTTTACGGAATAGCCTATTGGTCTGGAGAATGTAATAACTCCTTTCTAGAATAACGACTTATTCTGACGACATTTATTTCCAGTGGATTCAACTAACTATGTTGAATGGTTTAACCTGCTGACGGAAGCCACCAGAACTAGCTTTCGAAACGTCGTGTGCTTTGCAATCCTTACGGAATTTTATGTAACATTGAATGCTGATCAAAATCAAACAAATATTTTAAGAAATAATAAATTATGTCGATAAAATATTTCAGAGTTATGTAGGTCTGCTCACTATTGAGATGAATACTACACAGGACAGGGAAAATTTAGATAATGAGTTAAGTTCAAATTTATATTTTTCGTCTACTAGTGCTAGAAAGTGAAGTAAGTGAGATGACATGTGTGTGAGGGTAGTAATAAATGGAATCATGGGAATGTAAAATTGTAGACTGGATTCAGCTAAGGTACAATGTAGGGCTTTTGTAAATCTTTGGCTCCACAGAAAACAGAAAATTTCTTGTCGGAGTAAAGCGATGCACAATTAAGTATGAAGCAAAGCAAACAAGATTACAGGCAAGTTTCCAGAGAAAAAAAGGTATCAGGACCAACTGTGCAGTAAACACCACGTGGTAACTGTGTACTTGCATAGGACCGATACGTATATTTTACCTCGGCTGTATAAATGTGATTCTCTGAAGCAGTTGGGGACGGGCGTGGGTGGAGCATAAATGTTTTACTGGGACACGATATTTACTCGTATACTCTTATGACTGTGGTATGAAAATTAATCTTCGTTGTTGTAATTTATACAGTGCTTTGTGTTTTCACACACTAGTTGCTATTCTTCCATTTCCGTGGTAAGAATGGCTGCAGTATCCACGTAACAGATGTTACGTATCTCCCTAGGATAAAAACCGTGATAATTACCACTCACCTCCAGCCATTGCACAGACTGAAAATAAGCGGAACATTACGTCCACTATTATTTTAAGCCTCAGAGTAAATAATTGGCTACTCAGATACATGAGTCATTATTTTATTAAGTCTAAACTTATAGTGAAATTTGCCATTATTTGAATTTCAAGACCCTTGCTTAGTGTATTTAACGACGTTCTCTCAATCCACGAGCTATAAACCTCTAATTAGGACAGCTGTGAATGAATTAGGAAGGACGGCCTTGGTCTGTTTTAAGTCATAAACTAAGAAGGTTTCCTTTAATATTAATTTACCTGTTTTCACGATGTGTATAAAAATGACCGTACACATAGGAAACAGAAAGACAAAAATTTACAATTAAAATACACTTTAATTTTTATTTCGTGATCAAAACTGTTAGATCTAAGAGAATTTAGATTTCCAAGGTTTCATGTGGTGACGCTACGCATTGCAGATTTGTAATCGGTTTTTT